AGCTAATATGTCAATATTGTCAAGACTAAGAGGATCCATTGCTTCTTTGCCCCTATAAATAATTCTATAAACAAACAACAATCACAACTAACATTTGTTTGATTTCTATATAAAACATAAACATGCATAAAGTATATGCAAAAAAAAAATAAATAAATAAATTTAAAAGCAATTATAATAGTTTAAAGATATTATACCTTTCTCGAAGCTTCAAATTATAACGAACAAACACAAGGGCATTCAACCTTTCATGCTCTAGCCTGTTGCTTCTCTTAGAATGAATAAAATCAAAAGCACTCCAATTCCTTTCACATCCAGTTGCACTTGTGCATTGGCTAAGCACTCTAATTGCAAACTTTTGCAATTTGGGTGCATCCGTTCCAAATTAATCCCACCATGCAACTATAAAAACAATAAAATACAATGTGCATTGAAATAAGTAAAATAAAAACTTTTTAAACAAAATGAAAAGAGAGCTAAGATGAAAGAAAATTACCTGGATTTAACTTTTCTTTCTGACGAATAGCCAAACTCATGCCAAAGGTCCCTGTAGCTTTTTTGTACTCCTCAAGTTGTGAACTAATGAGATCTTGCTTATCTTCATCCGGTATCAATGTTGTTAAAGTATTAAGCAAACCTCTCGTAACAGTAGTTTGTTTGTTGAAGCTAGGTTTAAAGTAGATACCTGGATTAAGAAAGCAACCAGCTGCATGTAATGGGCTATAAAGTTGCTTATCCAATCTAGCATCAATCACATTAATGTAAGGCATGTAGTGAGACAACCTATTATTAAAATTCTTTTTTATTGTCTCCTTTGCCTTATCAATTGCCTCATACAAGTAGCCCATGCTTGGCTTCTCTTCATTATCCACAAGTCGAAGCACTCTCACCAAAGGTTCACTGATTTTGACAACTACTATGCAATTAGACCAAAATTCTTTATCTTCCAAGATAATTTCACATATTTCTTTCCCAACATTGCTTCTTACATACCGAGAACCAACCCATGCATCACTTGTAAACATTTGTCTAAGTTCCTTCTTAAATTTCAACAAACATTGGATGCTCAAAAAGTGAGTAGCAAATCTCGTAACAACAGGACGACACAAATCTCTCCCATTTGTGTAGTCTCTCCTCATTAATGCTAGCACCCATGAATGATTATATATGAACTTTATGACTTTTCTTGCCTTTCCTATAGTAGTATTAATCACAGGAAAGTATCTTGCATTAGAAAAATTTTCTAACATCAAGTCAATATAATGGGCAGCACAAGGAGACCAAAAAAATGTGCTGTACTTTGCTTCCAACCTTTTCCCAGCAGCTTTGTATGAGGCGTCATTGTCTGTTATAAATTGTACAACATTCTCCACTCCTACTTCTTTCACCATTTCATCAAACATTCTCTCCAATGTTTCAGCATCGTTTGTCAAACCAGAAGTGTCAATGGACTTCAAAAACATACTTCCTCTAGGACAATAAACAAGAAAATTGATTATTGGTTGTTGTCTTTGATTTGTCCATCCATCGGCCATAATTGAACAACCATTAGTACTCCATGTTGACTTTAAGGATAAAAGCCATTCATTAACCTCCTTTACTGCACATTTTAAGAGAGGACCCCTCAAATCCTGATAACTTGGTCCCTTAAAACCTGGTCCCATAGATGTGATAGCATCCCACATTGGGAAATAATATTTTGATCGTGCAGCATGGAAAGGCACATTAGCATCATACCACCATCTAGCAATAGCCATCCTAGCAGCTTCTTGTCTTTCTTTTGATTGCAAAGCACTTTTTATACTTTTCTGTGCTCCAGGAGTTGTCCTTGGTACAAAATAGGAATTAATATTCCTTTTTTGTTGTGCTACATGTGATTGAGATTGAGGGATCTCTTCAATTTCATCATCTTCTTCAACAAATGTTT